TCTCACCCTTGGTAAAATCATTCTAGAAGCATTCACTTTGTGGAAATAATATATATTTTCCATAAGTTCCATTAGCTGGTAAAAGCAATTACCGCTATTATTTCTAAGATGCATGATGTTTAGCTATTCTTGTAGCAAGACAAATGGCATTGAGATGTCATGTGGCATGTATTTCCTGAACAAGCCCTTCTGGAATTTTCTCGGACCTGAGAGGACACTACGCATGTGTCAGAATAAACAAATACGAGAACCTGTTTTGTTTGGAGTTAGAAGAAAATGCATTCTGTCAAGATTAGGCTTAAATCCTATATCTTCCTTAAGCCATCTCATATCTGGTTGTACAAAATCTCTCCTTTCTGTACGGGAATATTTCATTACCGTCACGATTTAGGGGTGACTACAGACGGGGTATGGATTAGTGAATGGATTTATTGACCACTTATTCATATGACTCAGAACTACAAGCACTTACAACGCTATAGTTGGTTTTCCCCACTGTTCGTTAAGTCTTCTCCAGCCTGCAGTGTCTTCACTAGTCGTTGCTTGGCAACAGCTCTCAACAATGGAGATTCTTCAGCTTCTGTACTCACGTTGTTACTGTCAGGCGAATATTCCACAACTGAAGCGACCTCTCTTCTCTTCCGAGGGCTGTACTTGCAACGTTTGTGCTTGGTCTCACCTTTCTTCCCGTGGCTTGGATCTCGGTGATTACTGTATAACTGCTTGCCCTGCTCCCTCCGTAAGGCCACTCGTCCCGAGCCTCCCCTGATAATGTACGAATAGGCATAGGTGCACAACTATGAACCTTGAATAGGTACATTTACAGATCAACGGTCCAGAGGAATACATTGCCCCCATCTTCAGGTAGAAGATGATGGAGAAAGTTACCTTCTTCCCAGTAGAGTTGGTAAAGCGCCTTCCAGATTATACAGTGTCGTACACCGCAAGCCAAAACCCAAATATAAATCCCCACCACCCGACCAGCTGCCAGACGATCATATTCTCAAAAAGGACTCAGCCCCACCTAGTCAATTTATCACAAGCCGTGTCATGTCTCGTGAGACGACGTGTAGCCGTCGGCTTCTCGCCGCGGAGGCCCAGATTGGAGCCCACAGTAGTCCATGTGAGATGTGTAGTGAACTGACATTGGGGCAAGTTCTCCGAGAACATGGCCCTTCCCTTGACAATTATCGTTCCACTAGTGTTCCATATAAATCTTTTATTATTAGCATGAAAAAAGCTTCATTCTCTCCTACACTGAACACCCGTATCCACAACAATTCTCCTACGCGATTTGGTATCAATTACATGGCATTATATTCTCATGAATTTTTATATTGAAGAGTTTCATTAAAGTTTGCCGATACACTTCAATTCTGGTAAAACAAAACATGACAATAACGGGCACTTTGCGAGAAGAAATTCGTGCGTTTCACTGCGTACCTCGAGCGTAAGCCGCCATATATTCATCCGAGTGAAAACTGTTTCGAAAAAAAAAATTGTAGAGAAAAATGATGAAACACAAATTTTATGCCTAACAAACTCTTTCTGCAAGCCTTCCGGTTTTCGAAATAATTAAACAAAAGGGATTTCATGCTCCGTCACCTCGTATCTCGAATACCGGTGGATAGGTTTTCATCAGATTTTATATTCGAAGCCCTTGAACACCTGTCCCGTCCAATTTCCAATATGTATATGACAGAATTAACAATTAAGGTTCACTCCAATTATAGCCAACGACATAAAGGAACTCCCTACAAGTGCTGTCCTACTCGCAGGTACTCTACAGCACTTGTGGGCCTTGGTCGCTTTTCCAGTTTCTTAATCCTATACACAGTCGGTAGGTCTCCTTGGACGGGTGATCAGCCGGTAGCAAGGCCCCTACCTATGCCTCGAGTGGGATTGGAATCCTCGACCCCAGTGTTTGAGAGAGCAAAGACAGTTCATGCCTTAGACCGCGCGGCCACTGTGATCGGCCTATTCTAGGCATACAACTCTTAGTTCGTTTCATCTAGAAATCCTGTTGATTTTAGGGAGAGGGACATACAATTTGATCGAAAGGAACACAATGCAATATAACATGAACGCAAATATTCAACTTCTAGGGTGTAGATATTGATAATTAAATTCCTTGAAGCCAATTTAACTTGAAAATAAAAGCTTGGTCTACATGACCCATCACTCCTATACAAAACGATAATCAAACCAGTCTGGACCTACGGGACAGAGTTATGGGGATGCAGCAAACCTTTCAACACAACAATTCTCCAAACGTTCAAATCCAAAACGCTAAGAAAACTAGTTAATGCTCCCTGGTACCTACCAAACGCTACCTTACACAGTGATCTAAGCATACCATACGTAACAGAAGTCATAAGAGCATACGCGGAGAAACACAAAAACCGGACCACTCAAAACAACAATCAACTAATAAGAAACCTCTTCAACCAACCAGCAATAGAAAGAAGACTAAATAGAATGTGGCCAGAGGATCTCATTAGATAAGCACCGGAGAATCATTGGAGGATAATACCTGCTTCAATATTACACACACCCATCCCTTTTACTATTTACTCTATTTATGGATATTGAGTAGATTGTAAAATAAAAATTTATTATAAAAAAGTATACATACGTGCTTTTCCAGGTGAAAGGCCTTTTGATACTTTCTAAAAATAAAAATCGAATGTAGTCTAAGGTGTTAAGAGTTATGACGTCGAAACGTCCGCCAACGATCACTCATGGAACTGAGCACTTCTTGAGAAGCTGCCAATTGTGCAGCTACTTAAGGACTTCCCAGCATTTTATGGAACCCGAAGGTTCATTACCGTGTTCACAAGAGCCCTCCAGCGATCCCCATCCTGAGCCAGTTCAATCCAATCCATAACATCCCGTCTCATATCTCTGAGATCCATTTTAATATTGTCCATCCACATATGCCTTGGTCTTTCCAGTGGTCTCCTTCCTTCCGGCTTCCCAATAATATCCTATATGCATTTGTTCTCTACCCCATACGTGCTACATGCCCTGCTCATCTCATCCTATTTGACTTCATCATTCTAATTACGAGTATATACTTGAAGAAGCGTAGAAGTTATGAAGCTCCTCATTATATGCGTTCGCTAACAACATCACTAAAATGCGTAGACTGACTCCTTTCAAACTCAGTTGGTCCTATGACAGACCAACACTGAGGTTTGTCGGTCCAATTTGATTTCTGTTTATTTTGGTTCATACACAGTGTGTCCAGGTTCTGTTAGGACTGTGTTCATTAAAAATACAAGACGTGAATACACCATGTCTCGTCACCAGTAACAATCGATTTTGTAAATTTTGTATCACTTTGGACCGACCGTAACATGTCTTTGCAGTGTACCATTCTGGCATGTTCTTCATCGCCTGACAGCGCGTGTGGTATAAACGCGCACAGACCTTCCGTTTGCCCAAATCCTCGGTCAAAATTTGATGCACAGTACTGTCTGGTATTCCCAAAAGCTCCTCGATGAGTCTTGCAGAAACACATCTGTCTGATGCAAGGATTCCTGTCACTTTTCTCACATTTTCTTCAGTGCGACTTGTTCTCGGCTTTGATGCACGTGGAGCGTCTTCAATGTCCTCCCAGCCGTCACGAAATACAACGTACCATCGAAAGAATGTTCGAGCGACTCAAACAATCACTACCGTACACACTTTTATCATTTCGTACGCTTCTCCGGCTGTTTTGCCTAACTTGGCTCTCTGTTCAACCGCCATTTTCCGACGAGAGTCAGAACAGTACTGTTACATTCAAGGTCAGAACACATGATGAAGCGATCCTTGCGCTTTGAAATTATATACAGCCACAGCTGAAACTTCAAAAATCTTAACGCCACAACTCGCCAACATTGCAGGGCAAAATGGAAAAAAAAAATAGTTCTAACGGATTGTGCACACACCATGTATAAGGGTCACATTGCTTGATGGCCTAACTGAGCTTTAATCCTTAGATCGCTAACAGATTTTGAAGAAAATTAATACGGCATATGCTTCATTAGGAGCCTGGATGGCGTAGTCGGTATAGCGACTAGCTTCTGGCTGGACGACCGGGAGGTAGGAGTGCGAGTCCATGTAGGGTCAGAATTTTCTCTTCTCCATGTCGTCCGGACCGGCTTTATGGTCCACCCAACCTCCTAATCAATGGGTACCGGAGGCTCTTGCCCCGGGGGTAAAGCGGCCGGGTCGTGAAGCTGACCACTCACCTCCAACTAGTGCCAAGATCAAGAAACCACATATCCACACTCCCATGTGTCTTTATGGCGTAGTGATTAATTAGTTAAGCACAGTTTTACCTTTTACGTTTCATTAACGAGCATTTTTATCTTAATACACGTACCTTGAACTTTTTTCGTTCCGATATATATTTAGCGAGTTACGCTGGAGGTTCGCAGAGACGCATGTTGGTCTTGTCGAACGTCAGTTTTATTTCTGTTCAATTTTATCCCAAATTGGAACGTATCCACAATTAAAACACTGAAATATAAATTTGTATAAATATCCATTAAGCGATTTTCGAGTTGCTTCGTTCGTGCAGAGAGACAAGACGAAATAACAGATGGGAGGATAGAGCTAATGCAATAGACGTTCTGTAGGTTTGTGAAAGGTTTTCTCCGAGCACTTCAGCTTCTTGTGACAATTCTTATTTGATCAGATGCTCCACATTCATCTACAAACATCATCTGAAGGCTGGTAAAATAGGCCTAATAACAGCAGAAGAACCAAACGGACCCCATCCACGGATCGAAAGAAAACGAAGCCGATTCTACAGTCATCCTATTATCGGGGACAAAATCCACCCAAAGCGATGCCCACATAAGAATGCGTGCATTTACCTTGAGTCTAGTCAGATAAGTAGACGTTAAACACCACATAACAGTCATAATACATGTTTTACAGCTCATGCTGAGTTCCTGTAATAGAAACTCACCAATTAATATCAGTATGAAGGCAGGATCGAGAGCAATGTTTGTGAGGCGACTCAGGTTGTTGAACGTGTCCTTCTCCGTCCACGCCCAAACCCCAACAGCCAAAATGCCCAGGCCCAGCAACTGAAAAAGAAAAGAGCAAATTAGGAATATCAAAATATTATTACAAAAGGAATATAACAACACCGTTTAGTGTGACGGACCAGAATTAATAAAGTCAAACATATCAAAATATCTTGACAAATACAAGGTCGCAGTAGAATTTTTGGTAAAATAAAATCATCTTCTACCGATTTGGGGGAAAACTTGATAAGGGCACGGTGAGATACAGCAGCAGGTAATCTGACACCCACCATGAATCAAGGCCCCCATACGTCATGAAGCATAGGTCAATGTGGTGACGCGCATTGCTTACACACTAGCATAAAGACTGTTCATACGTCAACGGAAAATTATTAAAAACAAACTTTATCAGAAATATCTAAAATACCTATTAGCAATTAAATTTATTATAAGATCCTAAACTTAAGAGAATAGCATTATGCACTAATCTATTACCAAGCGAACATACCGCGAACTACCTCTGTTATTTAGTGCGAATATTTTAATCTAAGCAGTAGGCATAACCACCTTAAATAATAAGTTAGTACACATACAAGATACACCTTATACATGTACAAATACAGCTACATGTAGATCTACAATTTTTATATCACATTTAATTAATTTTTAACGGTTGCGTATTTTAGTACGTTGTACGTTACATTTCATTAATTAACAAGTAATTAGCCAAATTGATGATACATTCAATGTCAATATGTTAACAAGAACCCGAGTTCAGTAGAATATATGTAAGACAATTCAATAAGTTCTGTGGACCTGAAGATGACCCAGTAGTCGGGATTGAAACATGTAGTTCAAAACAAAATATATAGAATGCCATATGCCTTTTCTTTCTTATTCCTATTAGTTATTATCCGTCTCCCATGCAACTTGCTTTTCAAACCCTTTAGGAGTTTTAAACGTTAAAATATCTTCTGCATCAGTGGTGTATGCATACTACTGCTCATCTTCAGGTGACCGTAAAATCGCTAACGAAACTGCTGTGTTTCAGTCCTTGGGTTCATGTTTTGGGGGATATGCCATCGTCTATGGGCTCATGTGTCTGTAATATGTATTAGTATCTCGTATTGGTATTCTGTGTAAGATATGTGTTGGTGTTTCTTATGGTATACACGTACATGTACATCTTCTCACCCTATCATGTCCTGCGTAGCTCTTATCAATGTTTGCTATGCTGGGTTGGTTCTGTGTGTGCTGCTATCTAGTGTTTATTCTTGTAATGTTTCGAATATTGGGTTATAAATGTCAATATATGTGTCATTCATGTGCAGTCTGTCTCTACTGATTATATACATGTGGTGTTTTCTAACGTGTTTAGGTGTTTTCCTTTTCCCTCTGCATTATGACGTGCACTGTATCGGTTATAAGCTCATACACGTATATGTGTCCTGTGCTCAGTATATGGCTCCAATATCCTGAATTGCCGCTGTTATTCAAAATTGCCTGTATATGCTCTCTATATCTGGTGTAAAATGTTCGGTCCGCTTGCCCTGCGTATTTTAGTGGGCAATCCATGCATTTAATTTGTTAAAGACTATCTTTTTCATATCTGTCTATTTGTGAATGGGATTTTACTGCGTTTTGTATTGTTTCGTGTTCGGAATGTTACTTTAATTTTCGTTTATTTAAAGAGTTTTGTAATTTTCTTTGTTCATTTACAGGGGCCCACGTGGTTTTCTGGTATTGTGGATCAGTGTTTTTGTTATGTTTGTGTTGGCCGGGGTATCTCGTGCCTAGGATTACATTATATTCATTGTGTGTAGTTAATGATGTTTAGTATCTTTTCCTTTTCTTCTTCTGTTATTGGAATTCAGTTAGGAGGGAAGTATTCCACAATATTCTCATAGAGTTTGGAGTATCCATGCAACTAGTTACGCTGCTTAAAATGTGTTTAAATGAAACGTATATTAAAGTACGTATAGGTAAATATTTGATAATTTTCATATTCGGAATAGTATAAAACCAGGAGATGCTTTATCGCCACTGCTTTGAAACTTTGCTTAAGAATACGCCATTAGGAATGTACAGGAAAACCAGGTGGGGATGAAATTAAATGGAACATATGAGCTGCTAGTCTATGCTGATGATGTGAATCTACTGGGGGATAATATAGATACCATAAAGAAAAACACAGGAAATTTAACTGGCGCTAGTAAGGAGGTTGGTCTAGAAGTAAACGCAGAGAAAACTACACGTAAGTATATGTTGCTGTCTCGTCACCAGAGTGCAGGGCAAAATCATGATATAATGATAGCTAACAGATGCTTTAAAAACGTGGCAAAGTTAAAATATTAGGCAACGACAGTAACAAATCAAAATTTGATTTATGAGGAAATGAAGAGGACAGTAATATTTTCTGCCACTCGACTCCGAACCTTTTGTCTTCTCGTCTGCTCTCTAAAAAATATAAATCAAAATATAGGTAAATATAAACATAAAAAAATGCGTGTAATTCTGTATGAGTGTGAAACTTGGTCTCTGACATTAAGGAACGATCACTGACTGAGGGAGTGTCTGGGCCCGAGGGGGAGAGCCTGGAGAGTGCTGGGTACCGATCATCTTCATAATTTAATTCCTTCACACATAAAAAAAGTAAAGCTCTCTTTGCAACAGGCAGTGGAGGCTCATAGGGTTGTGAGACTCCGAGGCTCCCGCAATTTATAAACAAATGCATCACATAGCGGTAAGGTTGTGAGCCATACGCACCGGCCGTCCTTTATCCCCCAGGAAGATTCCTGCTACTCATTGCTGTTAGAGGCTGAGTCGACCCCATGATCATAGTGCGGGTGGACGGATTATGTAAATTGAAAAAATCCAATAACCTCACAGGGAATCGAACCCGCGACCTTCAGCTTTTAGTATAGTGTCCTGGACAAATGCGACAGTCATTAAAATGATGAAGTCAGGGAGGATGGGAGTGGCGGGGAATGTAGCATGCATGGGAGAGAAGATGAATGCATACAGGGGTTTGATGGGAAAACCAAAAAGACGGAAACCACTAAAGATAAAGATAAAGGTAATACTAAATTGGATTTTATAGGAATATGATAGAGNAAAATCTCCATCTCAAGACAGACAGGCGGCACAAGTTCAGCCCCGATAAAGAAAGAAGATAGGAGAAGGGACACGAACCTATTTGGTTTACAAATTCTAACTTAATTAACAAAGTTTTAAAAACTTTAATATACCAAGAAAGCTGCTGTAGTTGTGGAAAAGTTGGATTTTGTATATATTGTGCATTACAAACATTGTATGTATATGTATTTTAATACTCAAAACACCCATTGTGATAGTAGTTTCCAAAAAGTATCGATGTCCCTCTGATGATGGTCTATAGGGACCGAAATATGTAAGGGTGTTAAGTTTTCAAGTATAAAAACTTCAATAATCACACTGGACGGAGTTGTTTTGTCTTTGTAATTTGTTAGTATGACGGACCAGAATGAAACAAATCAAATTTATATTTACCTTATCCCATGGTGAGTTTTCGAAAAACAGTAGCAATTTAAATAATATGGACAGGTGTGAGCAGCTCAGACGTACCATAAATATTACATAATATTCACATACACCGACCAATTAACAACATAACTACTTTGGCAGCGTGGAAGAACCTACAGCCAACTGTGCATACATAACAAACCTGATACTAACACTACATCAGCATCCTTATGAACTGCACAAATGACATGCATAATACTCACGCCGAAAAGGAAATAAATCCAAAACGAGAGATACTCAAATATCTTTTAAACGAATGAACGGTGACCACAATCAAAACAATGGGATGTTCATTAATTTTAATTAAGGTCAATTTATTTTAATTAAGAAATAGCACGCTCACACGCGATACGTAATTTTGGCACATAGTACAACAATTCTAACGAGACAGAAGACTCTCTGGTCTAGTGGTCATAGTTCCTGACTACAAATCCAGGTGTCCGGGTTCGATTCCCGGCCCTACCAGATTTTCTGGAAAGTAGTGTATCTGGAACGGGGTCCACTCATCCTTATGAGGATAACTGAGAAGCTACTTGAATGATAAAGTAGCTGCTCTGGCCTAGAAAACTGAAATTAACGGCCGTGGGGATTCGTTGCGCTGACCACGCGACATCCTCTATCCGCTAAAGTTGGCACTAACTTGGCCAACAGACAGCGGTCGCTGGGTCGATATAGTTCGCTTGCGGACTAAACCCACGGAGTTTGTTTTAGAAGAGAAGTGATGATGGCCTTATGCGGTCAAGACATGTAACGAGGAGAAGGGTCACTAGATGAAAGTTGCGCTTAAGACGGAAATACATGTGTACAAATGGTATTAACGTGTAATAAAGTTCACGTGAGATTTGATGTGGGCTAAGCTGCGATGGGGCATATTATTTTATGAGTCTCTTCGACCCCCGCCCCAAGTTAATTATCATTCTCTCATTGTTCCATACTCTCCTGTCGCCACCTTCTGAGGTGTGAGGTGGCCTTAACCGGACAGAACATTAGCAGATCTCTAAATCTCTGAATCTGGGATCGCACTTCTCCGACTCGGCATTTCGGTTGTCATACAGCGAGGGACTTACGTCAACGGCAAACCTTCCAAACGTATCCATTTTACAGCCTCTCCAGGCAGCTCATCCTTGCGGCCTGGGAGGAAGTGTATGTACCGATAAGGCTAAAGGAACATTTATGTGACAGTAACGATGCTATTATTATGTCTGTCTTGCTGAGCAGGTCGACGCCAAGAGGCCGTAGAAGTGTATTACACGCAAGTTTCATGGTCTCACATGGCAGCCTCATCATCAAAGTACACTTACGAAGAATGGCAATCTCCTGTGCTGAATATTCACTTACGAGCTTCAAAAGACAGCTCTTTCAGTAAGCAGACACAACGGAATAAACGGACCTCACCAACTCGTAATTATTTGTAGCTTATTTACGAGGGAGAGTCAGTAAATAAGCCACAAATGGAAGTAAAACAGCTGTAATGGATGTAATAGGTTTTCTGTGTGTAT